TATTTGGATTCATCGTGTCACACATAACTGCTCCTGTAAGCCCCGACTCCGTTCTTTCTTTACTTTTCATTTCATCTTCTTGGCTAAAGCTAAATCATTTTCTCCTCTCTTCCTGTTCTCTGAAGATTAAGCTGAAGAGAAATTGGGTTTTGGTGCTGGAGAGCTTGAAGTTTGGGATAACCTAGAGTCGTGTGAAAGCTTGTCTTCTTCTTCCCCCAAAGCTCGGATTCTTCTTCTCCGAGGTAAGGGAAGCTAGAACTCTAGTTTTTCATACATTTTGGCTTACATGTAGTTGGGTCTTCATCTAGGATGTGATTTGGGGTTGATAAATTGAGCTGGGTTGGTTGCATGTGGTAAAAATGAAACCATGTGATTGTTCTTGATGATCTCTTGAATCTTGGTGCATGCATGTTGTGATTCTTGATATTTTTGGGTTGCATGTGGTTGGTAGTGGTGCATTTGAGTTGTTGCATGGATTGGGCCTCCTGGGATTGCAGGTTCATGGAGGATTTGAGTGAAAATGAAGGTGAAATCCATGGAGTTTTAGAAGTTCAGAAACCCACAACTATAGCTGTGGATTCACAACCATAGTTGTGGGAGGGAAAAACGTGATGGCAAAGACTTGCATCCATTGTTGTGGTTTTGCAGCCATAGCTGTGGAAAAAAATTGGAGTGACAAAAACTTGCAGCCATGGCCGCGGAAAGGAAATGAACTGGCAGAGAGTTGCAACTAAAGTGCTGGATTGAGCGCTGCAGAGGTGGGGCTAGATGACCGAATTTGGTCTTAGAGTAGCTGCCAATCCCTTTTTTCATGAGAGAACCAAGCATATTGAAATTGACTGTCATATTGTTTGTGAAAAGCTCAATTCTGGTTTACTTAAACTTCTACCTATTTCATCATCTCTTCAATTGGCTGACATATACACAAAGTATTTGCCTCCTGCTGATTTCTGCCATTTTTGTTCCAAGTTGGGCATGTAAAACATCCATTCCCAGCTTGCGGGGGGGTCTTAGCTATAGTCAATTTTACTATAGTTAGTTTTGCCATAGCTAGTTTACTTTTATCAGGGTTACTTTGTAACCAATTCTGTTATGCTTTCTGTTTTATCTTTTTTTTTTTTATAAATACCCTTGTTGTCTCTGTTATGCATAAGTTCTTGTTGATCAATAATATTCAGCGTTATATGCTTCCTTTCTCTCCAGAGCTCTCCATTAAATTTCACAAGTTGTAGAGGCAAGAGCACGATATTCTACTTTAGAGGAGCTTTGAGAAACCGTAGCTTGTTTCTTGGACTTCCATGAAATGAGAGAAGAACCAAGATAAACCGCAAAACCAGTCACAGACCGACGAGTATCATGGCAACCAGCCCAGTCAAAATCACTGAAGGCCTTGATCTGAGGATGACTGTTGTTAGAGAAAAATAGACCACATCCAAGTGCATTCTTGAGATATCGAACAATGTGAAAAGCTTCTTGCTGATGAGCAGATGTTGGAGAATCAACAAATTGACTTAAATGTTGGACACAATAAGAAATGTCAGGACGAGTATTGGTGAGGTAAATCAATCTGCCAATTAATCGATGATACGGAGTAGGATTAGGAAGAATAGTACCAGATTTTTTATGTAACTTGGTGCAGTAGTCAATCGGAGTGCTAACAGGTTTAGCACCCAATAAACTAGTATCAGTAAGGATATCAAGGGCATACTTGCGTTGACAAACAGAAATGCCAGTGTTGTTTTAGGCAACCTCGAATCCAAGAAAGTATCTTAAATTGCCAAGATCTTTGATGCGAAACATGGTATCAAGAAGATGAGTGATGAAGTGAATCTAAGAAATATTATTGCCAGCAAGGAGAATGTCGTCAACATAGACCAGTAAAGCAGTGAGCAAAGAATTATTTGACCATTTAAGAAAAAGAGAATGATCAGATTGAGATTGTGTGTACCCATGAGAAACAAGGAATGAAGACAAACGAGCATACCATTGACGACTTGCTTAAGAAAAAGAGAATGTTAAGATTGAGATAGTGTGTACCCATGAGAAACAAGGAATGAAGACAAACGAGCATACCATTGACGACTTGCTTGATTCAAACCATAAAGAGATTTTTGAAGACGACAAACCTATCCAGGGAGTGAAGGAGTGATACCCGAAGGAAGTTGCATGTAAACCTCCTCATGAAGAATGCCATGGAGAAAAGTATTGTTAACATCGAGCTGTTTAAGATGCCAATTGTTCATAGTTGCAAGGGCAAGAATTAACCTAACAGTAGTGAGCTTTGCAACAGGAGAATAAGTGTCAATAAAATCAAGACCTTCCATTTGAGTGTAACCCTTAGCAACCAAGCGAGCCTTGTAACGTTCGATGGACCCATCAGCTCGATGTTTGATTTTATAAACCCAACGACAACCAATGGCTGTCTTGTGATGAGGAAGAGCAGTTAAAACCCATGTATCATTTTCCTCTAGAGCAAATATCTCCTCATGCATTGCCTTAAGCCAACAATCATGCTTAGAAGCCTCTTTATAAGATTTGGGTTCAGAAATAGAGGTAATAGACATAACAAAATGATAAAAAAAGAAGGAGATAGTTTAGCATATGACAATACCTGAGATAAGGGATATTGAATACCTGGATGATGATTGGTGTTAGTTGAGGTAAAAGCTGTGTGAAAATCTTTAAGAAAAGTGGGCTGTCTACTAGGTCATTGTGAACGACGAAGAGGAACAAGATTAGAAGGAGAAGGAGCATCAACAATAGGTGAAACAACTGGTGTAGTGGGTGAAATGGAAGATTCAGGGGTGTCATATAAAAGAGGAGACAAGTTAGATGAAATGAATTCAGGGGTGGTATCAGATTGAGAAATATGGTGAATGTGATAGTAAGGAAAACAATCCTCATGAAAAACAATGTTACGAGAAATCTCCATGTTTCTTAAGTGTAAATTATACACAAGATAACCCTTGGTGTGAGGTTTAAAACCAAGAAAAATGCAAGGGTTAGCACGTGGATCAAGTTTTTTGCGATAAACAGTTATAATAGAAATATAACAAAGACAACCAAAAACTTTGAGTGAAGAAAGATCACAAAGATGTGTATAAAGAAGTTCATATGGTGTCTTATTTTTTAAAAAAGGAGTTGGCAAACAATTGATAATGAAAGTAGCATGTAAAAGAGTAAAGGACCAAAATGTGGGAGGTAAATGAGATTGAAAAAGAAGAGCACGAGTAACATTTAAAAGATGTTGATGTTTACGTCCACAATATGAACCAAATGTAACATGTATGATAATGGAGAGCTCGAGAGAGAAAGGAAGCATATAACGCTAAATATTATTGATCAACAAAAACTTATGCATAACAGAGACAGCAAGGGTATTTATACAAAAAGATAAAACAGAAAGCATAACAGAATTGGTTATAAAGTAACCTTGATAAAAAGTAAACTAGCTATGGTAAAACTAACTATAGTAAAATTGACTATAGCTAAGAGGTTGAAAAACCTTATGAACGGATTTTTGGAATGGAAGATATTGTATTTAAAAAAAATCAACGACAGTATTATAAATGAAACAAGTTCATATGTTCAAAGTAAGATACAGTGCAAAGATAATCGATTTTGGATTCATTTCTTAATCCAATTTATCCAAACTTGTTACTACTCTTTCTTTAATTGAATATGGTTCCCAGAAAGGAATGTATATCATTTTAATTCGCCCTATTCATGAATTTATGATGATTTATCCACTTAAATGTTGTATCTCTAAAATCTTGAAATTCATATTCAACTCTCTGGAAGATTTTTTTTTTTTACAAAAAATTAGTAAATAATGTCTAAAACTCACAAACTTATTTTTACATTGATGAAAATCTTATCAAGTCTCACTACTAGAAGTTCTCTTATTACATGCGACTTTTCATGGGAATTTTGTATTAAAATTTGCAGCAAACATTATTCCTACGAATTTTTCTAGAAATTTTATCTGTATGTAATACTTTCATGAATAATATCTTTTTGTGAATTTTAAAATTCGCAAAAAATTTTCCTATGAAATTTCTTGTGAAAAAAATTCGCAGGAAAGTTTCCTGTGAATTTTTTCAACCGTAGCTTGTTTCTTGGACTTCCATGAAATGAGAGAAGAACCAAGATAAACCGCAAAACCAGTCACAGACCGACGAGTATCATGGCAACCAGCCCAGTCAAAATCACTGAAGGTGTGTATGGGAGCAGAGCAGGGATAGGTTGGAGAGTAGTAGCAGGGCTGCAGGTGGTAGTAGGAGCTGATTTTGTGTAGGCTACTTGGGGTAGCATTTTGTTAGTATTAGATATACTTTGACTTGTTGAGAGGCCTTGATCTGAGGATGACTGTTGTTAGAGAAAAATAGACCACATCCAAGTGCATTCTTGAGATATCGAACAATGTGAAAAGCTTCTTGCTGATGAGCAGATGTTGGAGAATCAACAAATTGACTTAAATGTTGGACACAATAAGAAATGTCAGGACGAGTATTGGTGAGGTAAATCAATCTGCCAATTAATCGATGATACGGAGTAGGATTAGGAAGAATAGTACCAGATTTTTTATGTAACTTGGTGCAGTAGTCAATCGGAGTGCTAACAGGTTTAGCACCCAATAAACTAGTATCAGTAAGGATATCAAGGGCATACTTGCGTTGACAAACAGAAATGCCAGTGTTGTTTTAGGCAACCTCGAATCCAAGAAAGTATCTTAAATTGCCAAGATCTTTGATGCGAAACATGGTATCAAGAAGATGAGTGATGAAGTGAATCTAAGAAATATTATTGCCAGCAAGGAGAATGTCGTCAACATAGACCAGTAAAGCAGTGAGCAAAGAATTATTTGACCATTTAAGAAAAAGAGAATGATCAGATTGAGATTGTGTGTACCCATGAGAAACAAGGAATGAAGACAAACGAGCATACCATTGACGACTTGCTTGATTCAAACCATAAAGAGATTTTTGAAGACGACAAACCTATCCAGGGAGTGAAGGAGTGATACCCGAAGGAAGTTGCATGTAAACCTCCTCATGAAGAATGCCATGGAGAAAAGTATTGTTAACATCGAGCTGTTTAAGATGCCAATTGTTCATAGTTGCAAGGGCAAGAATTAACCTAACAGTAGTGAGCTTTGCAACAGGAGAATAAGTGTCAATAAAATCAAGACCTTCCATTTGAGTGTAACCCTTAGCAACCAAGCGAGCCTTGTAACGTTCGATGGACCCATCAGCTCGATGTTTGATTTTATAAACCCAACGACAACCAATGGCTGTCTTGTGATGAGGAAGAGCAGTTAAAACCCATGTATCATTTTCCTCTAGAGCAAATATCTCCTCATGCATTGCCTTAAGCCAACAATCATGCTTAGAAGCCTCTTTATAAGATTTGGGTTCAGAAATAGAGGTAATAGACATAACAAAATGATAAAAAAAGAAGGAGATAGTTTAGCATATGACAATACCTGAGATAAGGGATATTGAATACCTGGATGATGATTGGTGTTAGTTGAGGTAAAAGCTGTGTGAAAATCTTTAAGAAAAGTGGGCTGTCTACTAGGTCATTGTGAACGACGAAGAGGAACAAGATTAGAAGGAGAAGGAGCATCAACAATAGGTGAAACAACTGGTGTAGTGGGTGAAATGGAAGATTCAGGGGTGTCATATAAAAGAGGAGACAAGTTAGATGAAATGAATTCAGGGGTGGTATCAGATTGAGAAATATGGTGAATGTGATAGTAAGGAAAACAATCCTCATGAAAAACAATGTTACGAGAAATCTCCATGTTTCTTAAGTGTAAATTATACACAAGATAACCCTTGGTGTGAGGTTTAAAACCAAGAAAAATGCAAGGGTTAGCACGTGGATCAAGTTTTTTGCGATAAACAGTTATAATAGAAATATAACAAAGACAACCAAAAACTTTGAGTGAAGAAAGATCACAAAGATGTGTATAAAGAAGTTCATATGGTGTCTTATTTTTTAAAAAAGGAGTTGGCAAACAATTGATAATGAAAGTAGCATGTAAAAGAGTAAAGGACCAAAATGTGGGAGGTAAATGATCGAACAATGTGAAAAGCTTCTTGCTGATGAGCAGATGTTGGAGAATCAACAAATTGACTTAAATGTTGGACACAATAAGAAATGTCAGGACGAGTATTGGTGAGGTAAATCAATCTGCCAATTAATCGATTAGTGTGACGGCCAGGCGTGTCGTTACAGCTCCACTACTTGCGACGTGTGCAACTTCTTTTAATCATTCTCAACTATTTTTCGGAAACCATTTTTTGATTATTGAATAGCCTTATCTTGGGGGCTTACAATCATCATTTTCGCGAGGTAGTTATTATGCACATATTCTTCGTAGCCTATATCCCTTCTGTAATTACATCGTATGGGTATTTCCTAAACCCTAAACTGAGGTAGTTAATAGGTCTCTATCCACTATGCTTCGAGCTGTTTTGAAGGGTAATCACAAATCTTGGGATGAGTATCTCTTCTTGCTGATGAGCAGATGTTGGAGAATCAACAAATTGACTTAAATGTTGGACACAATAAGAAATGTCAGGACGAGTATTGGTGAGGTAAATCAATCTGCCAATTAATCGATGATACGGAGTAGGATTAGGAAGAATAGTACCAGATTTTTTATGTAACTTGGTGCAGTAGTCAATCGGAGTGCTAACAGGTTTAGCACCCAATAAACTAGTATCAGTAAGGATATCAAGGGCATACTTGCGTTGACAAACAGAAATGCCAGTGTTGTTTTAGGCAACCTCGAATCCAAGAAAGTATCTTAAATTGCCAAGATCTTTGATGCGAAACATGGTATCAAGAAGATGAGTGATGAAGTGAATCTAAGAAATATTATTGCCAGCAAGGAGAATGTCGTCAACATAGACCAGTAAAGCAGTGAGCAAAGAATTATTTGACCATTTAAGAAAAAGAGAATGATCAGATTGAGATTGTGTGTACCCATGAGAAACAAGGAATGAAGACAAACGAGCATACCATTGACGACTTGCTTGATTCAAACCATAAAGAGATTTTTGAAGACGACAAACCTATCCAGGGAGTGAAGGAGTGATACCCGAAGGAAGTTGCATGTAAACCTCCTCATGAAGAATGCCATGGAGAAAAGTATTGTTAACATCGAGCTGTTTAAGATGCCAATTGTTCATAGTTGCAAGGGCAAGAATTAACCTAACAGTAGTGAGCTTTGCAACAGGAGAATAAGTGTCAATAAAATCAAGACCTTCCATTTGAGTGTAACCCTTAGCAACCAAGCGAGCCTTGTAACGTTCGATGGACCCATCAGCTCGATGTTTGATTTTATAAACCCAACGACAACCAATGGCTGTCTTGTGATGAGGAAGAGCAGTTAAAACCCATGTATCATTTTCCTCTAGAGCAAATATCTCCTCATGCATTGCCTTAAGCCAACAATCATGCTTAGAAGCCTCTTTATAAGATTTGGGTTCAGAAATAGAGGTAATAGACATAACAAAATGATAAAAAAAGAAGGAGATAGTTTAGCATATGACAATACCTGAGATAAGGGATATTGAATACCTGGATGATGATTGGTGTTAGTTGAGGTAAAAGCTGTGTGAAAATCTTTAAGAAAAGTGGGCTGTCTACTAGGTCATTGTGAACGACGAAGAGGAACAAGATTAGAAGGAGAAGGAGCATCAACAATAGGTGAAACAACTGGTGTAGTGGGTGAAATGGAAGATTCAGGGGTGTCATATAAAAGAGGAGACAAGTTAGATGAAATGAATTCAGGGGTGGTATCAGATTGAGAAATATGGTGAATGTGATAGTAAGGAAAACAATCCTCATGAAAAACAATGTTACGAGAAATCTCCATGTTTCTTAAGTGTAAATTATACACAAGATAACCCTTGGTGTGAGGTTTAAAACCAAGAAAAATGCAAGGGTTAGCACGTGGATCAAGTTTTTTGCGATAAACAGTTATAATAGAAATATAACAAAGACAACCAAAAACTTTGAGTGAAGAAAGATCACAAAGATGTGTATAAAGAAGTTCATATGGTGTCTTATTTTTTAAAAAAGGAGTTGGCAAACAATTGATAATGAAAGTAGCATGTAAAAGAGTAAAGGACCAAAATGTGGGAGGTAAATGAGATTGAAAAAGAAGAGCACGAGTAACATTTAAAAGATGTTGATGTTTACGTCCACAATATGACTTAAATGTTGGACACAATAAGAAATGTCAGGACGAGTATTGGTGAGGTAAATCAATCTGCCAATTAATCGATGATACGGAGTAGGATTAGGAAGAATAGTACCAGATTTTTTATGTAACTTGGTGCAGTAAAGAGAAAGTAATAATACTAATACACTTGAGATTTGTAAAGAAGGATTTTATATATGTATTTTGAGTAAAGACTACATGCTCACTATACATTCATGCAAGTAACAGTTTTCACGAGGCAATTCGCGCATGACACCATTAAGGTTGTGCGCACTGTACCTCATTCATGTATAAGCTATTCAACTCATACATGGCATGAATGAGGTAGAGAACTCTTGAGCATTTATGTTTGACATGGCAAAGTCTACACTCGACCTCAAATAAAATAGAGACGAGTCTTTCTCCTTATATTTGACATCACTCCTTTGATGCCTGATATCGAATCAACCAAATGATTCTCTCATATCACACTCGATGTCATTCAAGTTACGTCAAATGTGACCAAGTCAGAGGTCATTCTCTTTTCTTATGTTTGACACCACCAATCTTACGCTTGATGTGAGTAAGATAGAGACTCCTAATTTGAGTCACGTCTGATGCCTTGAAGGCACGCAAGACACAATAGTTATGCACTCAATAGACCATAAATTTGGCTAACCACCTAAAACCCAGGAAATCCAAGCATGCAATGCAATATATTATACATATACATGATTCACAACTCATTCCACACCAAAATAGAAACAAGCAACAACAACTAGGATTAATCACCCAAACTTCACCTTCATGAACTCAAACACCTAAATTAAAGTTCAACAAACAACAATCTCTACCTTAGAATCATCCATATAACTCATCAATCTATCAAAGATCCAAGTTCTAACTTCCTTTACCTCGAGATCAAAGTGAACCAAGGAATAAACTTTGCCCAACACCACCTTGATTCTCAACTATCCGACTTCAACTCAATAGTCAACAAATCAAGATCTTCTGGGAAGGATTCACAGGTCTGTTGTGGAAACAAAAGGGAGGAAAGCTCACATTAGGTTCCAGAGGGACGTCTCTATCTAACTCTCTCTCTCTCTCTCTCTCTCTCTCTCTAAGTTTCCTTGAGAAATGAGGTTATAAAGCTCAAGGCTTAAAAGAAATTTTATATATCTTCTTCCTTAAGATCAAACTAGACCTGTATCCAAAGAAACCCTTTAAATCATGTAAACTCAAAAGAATTCCTTAATCCTCAAAGTTTTTCGACCATAACAACTCAAAACACCACAATACATAATTATTGCTAAAAACAATAATTAACAAAAATGTAGTGTTACAAGAAAAGAAAGATTTTTAATAATTAAAGAAATATTTTCCTTTATATTGTAATCTTTCTTTTCCTAATTACAATACATATTAAAAATATCAAATATCAAGTAATATCACTACAAAGGAAAAGAAAAATTATAATACAAATACATTTGTCAACATGTCACAAATTTGTCCTCCTTTCTCATATATTACATCTTGCAACAAAGAAATTTTAGCACATGTTCATACAACCGAGAGGACATGAACACCAATATGAAAATAAGTAATAATTTTCTCTTGTTATTATCTTGAAGTTTGTTTGGATACTGTACCCTCCGGATCTCCAATTTGCTGAGCTAACCGATCAATATCTCTGCCTTGTTAACGCGTAAGCCAGGAGGGTTTGTGTGCCCTCCTAGTCTCCAATTTGCCGAGCAGGCCAAATAGAACATACCTTCTTGATCCCTATCCGACCGAACAAACCAGACTTTAAGCTAGTCATAGGTGTATTGATGAGTGAGCTCTGATAAAACTAATCAAGGTTGTGATTTTCGTGATTCTTGCGTAGATTTGATTACGATCATAAATGCGGTTCATAGGCTCATTATAGAGGGGGATCCACACGCTTTTAAGGGAATGAGGATCGAAGATCCGGATCACGTATATGGGACTCATATAAATAAGGAGAAAGGGAACTGGTGAAAGGCAAGGTTTTCTCATTCTTGAATGTTCTAGTTCAGGACGGCAGCTAGGTTCTCTTAGGGTTCACACCACTAAGGGTTCTCTGGCTACTATCCCTTTATTGGAACAGATACAAGTTAGAAACGATTT